ACCAATTGTAAAATAGTTGAAGGGGCAGCCCTGCAAATGCTTGTTCATGCCACTGCTGAGAGAAGGGACTGCACTGGAGGGAGCTCTAGAAAACCCTTCCTTCTTTGGCCTACTCTTCCACGCAGCAAGATGTACTTTGAAGAGATCAGAGTAGCCACACTTTACCCGACAACACGAGGAGCTGCTTGATCGACTAAATGTCGTGTACACATTTATATCGCTGGGCGGACAGAGGCAGCGGGGGGGGGGGGGGGGGGTAGAAACCCGTATATATATTCTTCAATTGCTTTACCAGTAGATCGAATCAGCGGTGACCTCTGAGTTGCAAGCCCAGTGTGCTAACCATTACACCGCGGCAACATTCTCTGCAACGATTATGTCACAGTAATAGGTTCGTGTCATTGGGAAGTCGATTTTTACATTGCCCGCCAATGTCACAACGTTGGATACGTGTGTCGGTCTATATGTATGTTCAACTTCTTTTGCAGTGCCGTATGTAGCCAACCGTGATAATCGGAGGTGCGGGGAAAGGCCAAAAACTAAACACAAATAGCAGTTATATACAAATTAGTTTTGAATCTAGACGATTTAAAAGTACATAGCTCATAGTGGCTTCCTAATAATTGGAAGAACATTCCAGACGGCCGCAGAAGCGCATCTGAAAGCGCGCGATGCAGTTCCCGTCTTTGTTTGATGGCTACAGCCAAAAGCCGCTGCTGCCAGGATGACCATGGTTCGCGTGATGGTTTATGCTCCTTGACGAGATCACCAAGGTATTGTGGGTCATTTGTGGTAGTACTGTGTGTAATGAGTGCGACCTTATAAAGATATAAAAAGATGATGTGGTGCAGAGTGCATTATCCATTCACCAACAGAGAGGAAATGACAACGATAACAAAGAGTCCTTTATCAGTCAGATGTATTATTCATGTCATATATTGGGAAAAATACAAAATAATAAGTTAAATAACAATTCTTGTACAAAAACGATGTAAACCAGTGAACGGTCACCTGCAATGAAAATTATTAAATAATTTTTTCGTAAATTATACACTTTTTGTTTACTCCACTTAAATGGAAATAACCCTTTGCATTATACAAACTGAGACGGTTACATTTGTATTTTGAAAATTAAGTGGGAAGATTTAAGGTGAAAACAATTTTAAAAATTGTCAAAGTTTCCCAGCAGAGGTGCTCAGGATATGTCCTATATTGCACACAGCAGATGCATCAACATTTCTACATTTGCAACAAATTAAAGTAAGCATTCCCTTCTTAAAGGCTGGATTGCTTTGGTTAAACTGAAGATGTTGAAAATAATTGGTTGTAGACCAAATCATAACTCACAAGCTATATTTGCATATATGAAGGGAATGCTTGGATGCAACATCATAAATCGTGGGTTGCAATGACCCAAAGCAACGCAACAATATCACAAAAATAACACAAGCAAACAATTGGAAGTACTTTTTTTTCTGGCACGATAATCTATCAATGAAAAACCACTCTGCTAAAAAAGACAACGTTTTATTTCTTCCAAATACAAGTGTCTACAATGGCATTTTTTCCATGAGCATAAAGTTTGCTTGATATTTCTTTTTGGCGTCGCAACTCTTGCCATGCTCGTAAAAAATGGCCACTTGAACACTTTATTCTGACAAACTCGTGCATACGACACTATTTTCCTCACTGTTCCTTCACATAAAGTACCACAACACATTTTGTTCGCACGGCCATGCCACGCGGTCGTAGTTTTTTTTTTAAAGTGGCCTTTTTTGATCCGCACATTGTGCATTGATGTTCAATTGAGGACTAATTCAGGCCAATCCACAAGAGACAAAGGGACAGGCTGGGGGTAAAGGAAAAAAAAAGTCTACTTTGGCAAGTGGCTTACAAAACTCGACACAACTCAAATGCTCCACTCTGTCGCAACAACAACAGCATCACAATCGATGCGGTTGTTATTGTGTCGAGAGCCAGGGGAAGGTGAGTGGAAGTGGTGCCATATCATGCTGGAATATCTTACTGCATCGTGCCCATGGAAAAAGGACCACATTCTCAAATAAATAACAAATAACCAAAATGTAATAAGAAAAAAACCCAAGGAAATATAAGGATGTAGTTATTACATTTCAATTTGCACCATTGTAAAGATATGCAGAAATTACAATTCAGTATCAGTATGCAGGGTTAATTGCTACATTAACGAATACATTGGCTTCAGCTGCCAGTATAAATTATATTATGCTTATTCACTAATGATTATCAACATTGAAATGACAATCACAGCACAGACATTATCCATGAGGACATGTTTTAAACAGTTAATACTTTCTTTAAAAACGACAATTTAATAACTTCAAAAAACGAAATGGAAATTAGGGTGTTCGTGTACCCACTTTTAAATGTACTTTTATTAAATAATTCCCTTTAACAAAGTCATCAACGACTCCCGTCAACTAAAACTACCGTAGTTACAATAACAGTCTTGTAAGCAAACATTTGCGAAAGTGTACCACTGAAGAAAAAACATTCAACATAACAAACCTGTGCACTATCACGCCGTAGAATTATAACCACCTAAGCAGCGCTAGCCCCATCAAGACTACAATTCAGGTTGCACCAAAGAGTAACCTTAAAATGTGTTGAAGCACCCTTAAACGATTGCGGTCCATATGGTACACAGCCAAAATACAACCGCAAAACAGCAATAATGGTCTGGTTCATTATGTATAAAAATACATACAGCAGCAATGACATTCTTATAAAAATGTGTACAACCCTCTGTGTGTTTTGTCACGTGGGAGCCACTCCAGGATTCACGAGTCGACCACTGTGCCGTGTATCCATGCCGGCAAGATTTCTCTATTTCTCACACATATCATGGAATACACATCGAATAAATGTGCTCATTGGTTAGGCATTGAAAATCCGACAATGTTTGGCCCAGGATGACTTAAGTCGCTCACTAGCTTTTTTTTCGTTTAAGCCTCGTGGAAAGGTGATTATACAATTACAAACAATTCGGGGTTGTGAACTATAGCAGTGACGTGTGCCTTTGAACCTGCGTGTAACAAGAGATAATTTTCACCAATGGGGTTCCTTTGCACTGACATTATAGACTTTCAGCCAAATCGTGTGTATGATTACTCTCATGAGAACAACGCATACTCTCTTTCTTCCACTATCCAAAAATGTAATAAGAAACATTAAACATTGCCATCACGTGAGTTGCTTTTTTTCTCTTGAAGAAGCGTAACTCATTACACAATCGCCCCCACCCCCGCCCCACGAATGTGCTGCAGTATGCTTGTTGACTCATGAAGAGTGTGACAGAGGACATACAAAAAAAAAGGATGTCTGATTTTAGAAACACCCGGAACTCTCAAGGAATTAAAAGCACGGCGGCATACGAGGGTCATGTGACCACATCCACTGTAGTTCACCGCGATACTCGTGTGCTCTTCAAAAAATGGGGGCATTCTCAAGAGAATAAGCATTGTGGGGGGGGGGGGGGGGGGGGGGGGGGGGGGGGGGGGGGGGGGGGGGGGGGGGGGGGGGGGGGGGGGGTGGGGGGGGGGGGGGGGGGGGGGGGGGGCACTTTAGGGCCATATTTCAGTAGCCCAAGAAGGATTGCACATGCCAAACAATTCTGGGGGGGGGGGGGGGGAAGAAGGCTGTGTGTCTCATTGACAGAAGCTGCATTGCAAGAAATGTGCAAACAAATTAATTATTTGAAAGCAAGACTGAAATATTTGAAATTGAATTCCAAAGCGAGGTTACTGTCGTCGATATTTTTTTACAACTTTTTTTTTACAAATTTGTACCATTAACGCATTGATGGGCACGGAGTAACGCCCCACGCAGGCGTGTAATTTTAGTTAATTTAATGCGCACCTACAGACTTTTACTCGTGAGATTCTACCAGTAAATCACACCGCTTTGTGTTTTTATCTTACGTCGAGTCCCAAAGTGTGCTTTGTGCTTAATATTTCTCTTAAAAAAGTGACAGGGAAACACGGCAGGAGCGAGGGCCGAAACACGGCACGGTGAAGCAGCAGTGGTGGTGGGGGGGACTCAATCTACATCTCCAAAGTTTGTTTTGCAAGAGGATGAGGTAGGCCCACAATGTAAAACAATGAAAAAGTAAAAACCCGTCACAAATTAACAGCTATCAGAAACCATACATTTGATTGACTATCCATATCAACAATTGCCAGCTAGGACAATTCCAGCCAACTTGACTACCCACCACAACCAGGTACTTACGTTACACAAGACTGCAAGAAAACAAAAAAACCGGTGACAATGTTCATCTATGCAGCATCTCACACTGAAGGACCTCATTCTGTGTTTAAACCCGGTGAGTGTATTTCTGTTTAACGTGATATCTGGATAAGGGCTTGAGGTTAGGGATAATCAAAAAATTGCATAGTTTTGTTGTGTCTATGTCAAGGTGAAAAGTGCACTCCCCCCACCCCCCCAAAATAAAAACTAAGAAAAAGTGTATCTTATGAGACGGCCTTATATATTTTTTCTACTTTTTTTTTTCATCGCATTGCAATGGATCCCGCGAGCAAAATTTGTGACAAACGAGTGGCTGAAATTCACATCGGAAACGTTTTAAAGTCAGGGATATAACACGGATTTGTCATTGTTTCCTCATGCACCCTCCACACCACTTCCAACTCACAAACCCCAAGTTGTGACCAGACAGACCCAGCACCAGAAGTGACCACAGTGGCGGGGATAACAGCACTACATTTTTGTTTGTTCTACTTGACAATGTTTTTTTTAATGCTAACTTTTCAAACGTATCTATTCAATTGCACTATTTTATAGGTGTTACTGTATGCAAGGTAAACAAACAAAAGTAAACTGGTGCCCAAACGTGTCAAGTTAGTGTCAGTCACTATCACATACCATAACACACCGTCGTTTGGACAAAACTCATATATTTATACTGTTTAGGTTATATGCTCACTTTCTTCTTTTTGATATATTTACAAGTAAGGCTTAACAGGAGAATCTTACTAAAATTCGACACATTAGAAAATGAGGTTCATTGATAGCACCTTAAAAGTGATCTTGATCCCTTTTTTAAATGTCTGTAAATCGCAGCAGTGTTCGTAGAATACGTCTTTTTTATTCCATCCAATGCTGTAGATGCTGAAGAACCTCAAACGCAACGTGTATACCTATTTACACCGGACCGCTCTCCCACCCGAGTGGATTTCTAAAAGGGGGTGCAAACTGTGCACGGAGGAACGACGTTCGGTGGCATTCCACCCAAGGGCCTGACAGAGGCAGACTGGGTCTGTGCGACGGAGGGGCAAAGCAGCGATTCGGGGAGAGAGAAGGGAGCATTGCTCCCGGGAAGGTGGTACTCCGTTTCGCATCAGCAGTGCATCTATTCAGGGGGTCAATTGCGTGTAGGATTTTGACGGTAATTTAGCAGTTTTGTAAGAAGAAGAAAAACATCTGAGGAATGAAGCATACATTGCCAATTGTTTGCACACGTAAATAAAAAAAAGAATTAACAGCAATTAGTACTACTGCTACTGTCACTACGGATACAACTGCAACAATTAATTCTTGAAACGACTTACGATAACTACATAGTACATGTTACACATGCTACTTACTGCCACTTTCCCAAATTGTGAGAATACGCATATATTTTGACAATTATATAAAGGTTAAAAGTTCACAATATCCCATTAATATCCAAGATACCTAAATTCATGGCAAGCCACAGTGAACTTTAATACTGATCTGAAATTCTGTTGCCTTTGTCTCAATCTGTGGCACACATCATATCATACTACAACCACACCTAAATGAATACCATTGCTTCCAACCTCCTCTCGTATATATTTTGTGGACACATCTTCACAACAGGAGCTGAAGTATATTTTTTTTAGCACATTTCCACTTGGAGTAGGGGTTCCACTTTAAATCCAAATGTATTTCAATTTAAGTTACTTGTGTTTCAAAAAGTACACAATGCCCCTCTCTGCCCACAACCCGAAACCCCATCTTACCCTTTCCCATTCTCCACCATTGTCCTTTGTGCCAATATCTGTTAAGCTGGGGCAACTCTCCCATTTGAGAAACTAAGATGCAGTAAAAAGTGCAAACTGCTCCTGGTACACACTTAAGCCGCACGTTGCATGCAATCGACGAGCCGCATTGACCTTCCATTTAAGGTTTACAGATTCAACTCGTGTCTCAAAAAAGCCACCTCGAATTTCGCCGCAATTTTGTATTTGTCCAAACACCAACATTATCTAAAATACAACGCCGTGACACGAATTAGTTCATCGCAAAACCCTGGCCTCAGTTATACTCACGACAAACCAAGCCTGGCGTTTCTGCATTCCCTACATAAATTGGCACAATAAGGTGTCTTTTGTGACCCGTTTGAATCGGCCAATGCCAAATGGAGGTTCCTTTAATAAGTAAAAGCGGGTGATGCCTCTGAGTCATCGCAAGTCAATCCCAAGTTGGTTAAGCAAAAGCAAACCCTGTCCGGTTGAATGAGAGATTGCTTTAAATATTCAGCACTGCTTTCTCTCTCTTCAGTGGAGACACTTGCGAGAGATCTGCCGTACGACTGCAGGCAATATTGCTGGAGAGTACAAACACATACGCTGGGTGCGTCGATTACGCCCCCAGTTGCCCTCCACAATTTGCGAGCTCAAATTGCGCACGCGCGGAAAGATTTATAGTTTCACTTTTCTAAATGTACACATACCATTTATTGGCTTTGAGGGGGATGGGGTAGGATTTTACAAAATTTACAGCAATTACCGTCTAAACCATCATTGTTGGTAACGCATCGGCATATCACCGCCTGTTTATTGGCCATGAACCTGTCAGCCACAGCTAGGATGTCTCTCTCAAAAAATGTAATACTGACTGAAAAAGAAAATACACGAACCCAGCGACTGGGGCTTCACCATAGCAGAGGCCGATTGAAAAGCACTCACTTATTGAACAATGAATACGTAAAAAACACAGGGAGGGATCAGCGGCTGCACAATAGCTCTACGTCTCAACGGTGCGCAACGCACCACGAACAGTACAACACCCTAGTTATGCTGTTTGGTACGCGGTAAAAGAGATACTGTCGATCGCAGTTGGCCGTCTCACGTTTAAAAAAACACGCACGTGACCACCGTTGCAGCTGTGTCTTTTCAAGAAAACTATCAAACAGGTGGCAGTACATCTAATGGGGAAGAGGAAGTTGACTTTTCTTCCAATGCCCCCTGCCACAGCACGAACTGAGGTTGACACTGCAGAGGGCTAGAACCGATTGTATACCCCACCTTTAATAAAAATGCACTCCACCCCCCCACCCCCCATAGATAAAGTCAGTGTATGCCATAGCACACAGGTTAAAGACATTGCTACGCAGCTAAACTTCAAAGTGACAAATAAACACCTTTGCCTGGCTGTTAATTGGAAAGTATTTTCCTCAATTTACTTTCTCAAACATAACGCCCTGTAAAAAAAAACAGGCACGGAATCCACGTCGTAGGAAATACAACCCTGCGTGCCACCAAATAAAAAGCTAGCATTTTGGGAATGTCCCGATATCGTAAAAAAATAAATAGCATGCCGCTAAAAATGTATGCAGGTGCGTAAAGTTGAAAGTGCATTTGTTACTTAGTTAAAGGACCCGGGTTATTAGGTCATTACATGCGAAAGGCAACTCAGCCGCATGTTGGAGACACTCGCAGTGTGGCCTGTTTTTGCCAATTCTTCACTTCGTTTGGTGAATGCCTTCAAAAATACAGCGCGTGATTTGGTGATAATATATGCTCGCGGTGTAAAGTTTCACCACACCGCTCTCTAAAAATTGTCGCGATTCAGGATGACGATTCTATTCAAGAACCAATTCCATTAAAATGTTAACTGTGGTGAGCGTAGCAGCCTCCAGTGGCAGGATAAATCAATGACCAACTGAGTATCACACATATGGAACAGAAACGTCGATTCTTCCACACATCATGTGACACTCCATTATGAGCTTAAGAATCCATAATAATCGACAAATGTACGTATCATTAGACCCACGACGGATAGCAGTGAGCAGTATTAGCATTGGCCAAATACAGGCAGACAATTTACCCATTCTATTATCGTGTAAAGTTTGATATACAACAATTATCAAGGCTGCATACATTTGAGTGACAATAATATGACATTATTGCATTAACCCTATTAAGGTCTGTGCAGCCAGGGGATTTTCAACAGCAAAGGCAATGTGCTTCTAAGTGTCTGGCATTGTGATTAGCATTGGTAACATTGTCGTGAAAACGTTCAAAACCCACACAAATTTTAATTTTTAAATAATTAAATTTAATGCATTATATCGACGTGGAGCTTTATTAACGGCACAGCACTACGTTAAATGCCACCTTCCCGTTACCATCCCTGAATTGAAACAAATTCACACCTATACGTATTCTCCGGTTGGTACGACTCTATTATCCTTTTTGTTTTGCAACACATTTCCGTTATATCAAGCGCGTGACACAAGGTGAGTTCAATTGTCGGTGTACAATCATCGTGACTATGCAATCGCATCTTGTTTGCCAAATCTGAGGCATCACCCAAGACACAAATGGCATTTTAAACGTGACTCTTTGCAAGCATAAGGTGTCCACAATTGTAACCAGGTATACCTCTGATAATACACTTGGGCGACAGCACCTTTTTCGTGACGGGTACTACCTGGACAAACAGACCGTTCACCGAGCCTACGGTAATAAGCTTGGATTAACTGCATCAGCTCGAACAAAAACTCCTCCGCAAAATCTCTGCGTGCCCAGCAAAACAATGGGACGTTGGGCCAGGCGCCAACGTCGGGCTCACGTTGGCCCGACGGTTCCCGACCGCACGCCAACGTGGACGCCCCAACGCTGCACGTTCACTGGATGCGATGTCGCGTAAAGGCTGCCGTCAGACGCGGGAGCAGAGTTCATGCCCACGGTGGGCGCCAGGCCTCTGCTAGACAATAAACGGGGGGCAGGGGGGCACCCAGGAGATGGCACCTTAATCAAGAAACGGCCGCGCCAATATCTGCAACGGAGCCGTCGATACGCTCATTGGGTTTGAGAGCCGCGTCTCTCTCCCTCTCTTTCTCTCCCCCCGGGCGCTGCGAGTCGCAATCCGACCGCGTCAGAACAGCGGTGCTCAGACGTAAGCGATTGAAGTTCCATCCGTCAGAATTTCCACACCAGAATACACCTGAGTATGAATGAGTTTAAAACAACAAAAAACGAGTTATAAGAATCGCATCGTTTTTTTAATCAAGTTTTTTGCGGTGCACTGTTAAAAGGTCTCACCTTCATCCTCATGGCGACGGTTTATAGGAAAAAGAAAGCACAGTGTTTAATCAGCTGTCGTGAAAGTGTAACTACGAGCATGCGGATAATTGAAACTGCTGTGACGTTTAGGGATCAGGTATATTCAGGTGAGGAAAAGTCTCTGAATTATCAAATTGGTAGAAGTGTGTTTGTTTGCAAAGTTCCTGTGAAGTACATTTGACTAACAATTCGATCATAAAATAAAGTGCACAATGCAAAGTTACCCTCAGTAAAAGATATGTCTTCATTTTAAATTGAATTGAAAAAGAGAATTGTTTGCATATACTAAGGAAACTTAGAAGTAATCTGGAATTGTGTCCTTTTATAAGTGTATAGAAATGATAATAAGACTTGCACTTTAGTTTTTGTTACCTGTAGGTTTTAAAACGAGAACAGTGTTACTGTTACAACCACGGATAGTTACACACATTTTCAATATATACAAGGCCACAGCTATTCAAAAACAAGACCAAATAATTATGTGGCATTGACGTCTCCGAGAGCCTGTTTAAGGTCAGACTTGCTTTATTATAAACAGCACCTAAATATTTAAACCAGGGGTTTTGTGAACAGGACATATTGGGATAAGCATTGAATGCAACGCGAGGTGGAACAAAATTGATTAAAATGAAGCCACAAATAAAGAAAAGGTAAAGAAGAGAGGGGTATGGAAGAGCAGATACAGTTGGATACTCAATGGCAAGATGGCCTAAGGGATGGGTGCCAATCACACACCCTTCGTTCCCTATAACTTTCAAGCGGAATCAACGTTCCTGCTCCAAGGTATCGCACACACAGGCACGCATCTTACATTTCAATGACAGATGGCGCGTGACAATTCCATGGCTGAAAGTTGAAGAGGATGCACCAATGTTCCTTGTTTGTCATAACCCCGGGTTTAAACTGAGCAGAATGCAACATTCAGGCTACGAGTTATTTTGCTGCTGAGTCGACACACATAAACGCCATTGCACGCCTTAGACCTTTTTTTTTGTTTGTGTGACATTACACCAGGGAATGAATCTCACAACGAGCGTAATTCGTAGTGTTGGGAGCACTAGGATCACTTGTGGTATTGCAATGGAAATCGTAGTAATTTGCATTAGTTCGTCACGCACACGTATGTGAGAAACGACACCAGCACTGCGGCGCTAGCCGTTCCACTCCGTGCATCCCACCACCCCCCATCCCACGGTGCCGCGATGGCTGTTAGGACCCTCTCCTCGTCAAGCCGCACCAAAACTGAAGCCGAAACTACCGGACAATTTCGTACCCCCCGCCAAGATCTCTCTCCCTCCCAAACAAGCACCTTGAAAATACGAGCGTGCGCACGAGAGAAGCGGCCGCCACTAGCCGTGGGTCGCGAGGGGCAAGCCGGCCGCTCAGACGCTCGTTTCGTACTCCACGAGCTCGTAGGCAAACGTGAGGTCCCGTAGCGGATGGCCACCACCGTTGGGGTGGCGTACTCCAGCATGTTGATAGTCCTGCGAAGGCGGCGGTCCACGAAGTGCGCGTCCCATGCCGGGTACCGTTTCCTCTGCATGTCCACGCGGATGATGGGCCCCTCGTGGCGCATCAGCCGCGGCGACGGGGGCGGCAGCGCGGGCCGCCTGAAAGATGTCGGGCTCGCAGGCCCCGAGCGCCGACGTCCCCGGGGGGCCGTCACGCTCGCTGCCGGCACGGCGCCGTCGCCGCGCCTGCCGCTGCCGCCGCGGTGGCCTCAGCGGCCGCCGGCGGGATGGGGACGCCGTCGAGGACCTGGGCACAGCAGAGAAGGGCAGCCCTCGGAACTTGCGGCCGTCCGGGTGCAGGAAGCCGTAGTAGAGCACATGAAGAGGGTGCCCAGGAAAAAGCTGGCAAAGACGGCGCAAAGGGCCGGGACCGCGAAGGCTTCCGTGGCCGCCCTGTCACGGTTAAAGTACCAGAGCAGGGTGAGGGCGAAGTTTTCGGTGGACACGAGCAGGTAGTACACGGCCATTCGCCGCTGCGACCGGCTCTCCTTGACGTTGAACCAGCAGAAGATGTAGACGATGCCCACGACCATGTTAAAGAGCACCTCCTCCCACTTCGACGTGCAAAAGTCCGTTTCGCCGTAGATGACCCAAAAGGTCATGACGCACCAGTGCACCGCCACAAAATGCCAAAGTACACCTGAAAGATGGAGGCGAACAGGGCGAAGGAGAGCACGCGCGAGAGGATGGTCAAGCCCTCCGAAGATTTGCAGCATAGCACCTTTGTAGCTCATTCGGTTGCAGTCGTCCCGGGAATCCCGTAGCGCTTTGTGGTAGGCGGCGAGGACCCAGCTCAGGGACAGCAGAGAGACCGCTGTCGAGATGCCTACGCAAGGATTGGAGGACACGGCAAATGCTGGTGAGCGGTCGCGTGCACACGCACGCCCACGAGCGCTACCGAGACAAACGGGCAACACCATCGACGCAGCTCTGCGGAAACGTTGCGACCGGTTTGCGATAAAGGAGATTTTCTAAACAATTGTAACGCCGATGCAATCAATAAAGAAGCGTTAAATTAATAACACTGGCATGAAAACATGAATATGTATTTATGGCGTGTACATTTTTATGCGGCGAGTGAACAACGATAATTTCAGGACTGCAAAACAACAATTGCCCTTTGCACAAACTGGACATTGCTCTGATAAGGAATCTGACATATTCTATTCTAAAGAAAAGAGTCTTATTATTGTCGAGGTCTCCACTCATAATTTCAAAAGCTTCGGCTTCCTTTAAATGGCACAGTTGCACCTTTATCCATCAGGGCCAGGGCTGGGGAACTGAATACCATTCTCCTTTCCGCTCTGGAAAGGTCAAACGCAGAGATAAATGAATCTCCAAATGACAGGTTTATAAAAGTGCTTTGTTGGACTAAACACAAAATATTTTCGTAACCACCCAGGCACAGAAATGTAACATAGAACAATGACTATATTTAATAGCCTGGGTCCGAAGCTCAGCGAACCCAGTGACCCAAGTTTGATTCCCGGACAACGTCAACATTGGCAGCAAGTGATTTCATAACCGGTCCTGCCCTCCCCTCCCCTTCACGAACATGCACTGACCAGTGGGGTGAAGTATGGTTAAAAATCCCCCATGACCAACATGGTGTGGGGAGGCCTTCATCATTTGGTCGATGGGAATGGCTGGAATTTCTTTGTAAAAAATAAAATTCACAACTAAAACTAGCGATGAATGTAACTTTTTTTTAAAATAAAATATATTTAATGTGTTTAAAGAATACATACCAGTATTGTCTGCTTATTTATTTATTTTGCTACTTCTATCCTTCAAAGCGATGATAACGATAATTTTATGTTACGTCTTCTATAGTCCCTAGTCGAACTAGGAGCCATATATGACCGAGATAATCCTTCCCACTAAAACATTCTAGCAGTTCACCAGCATTGGTTCCAGCGAGCCCGACTCTGCTGACGAGACAATGCTCAAATCGGTCCAGGATTTGCTTGCGTTGAACCAATGTCACCGTGAAAACGTCACACCCCAGGAGGCTGTCCGACTAATAGATTGTGCGAAAAAAAAACGTTTTGGCGATTTACGTGATGAGACTTCTACGGAAACAAGGGGTTACCGTCTTAATTGTTGTGTTTCTAAGCGGTCGTGGTTGAGATTAACGTGTACTGTATACACTTACTGTCATGGAAAGCGTAACATCATCATGGTCATCCCAGCCAGCCCCATCCTCCCCACTCCTCCACTCAGCACAACCCTACGCCACACCCTGCTCAGGATGTCACTTTTTTGCTTCTAATCTTAGGTTTCTGCTTTGTCTTACCGTCAGTCAGACTAATGGAAAGCCAAAGCCCCGTTGGGAAGCCACTTCCGGGATTCTCAGCAGCACACTCAGAAAGAGCTATTTATAAACCGGGTCTGCGTAACCTTCCGGCCGAGCGACAGATGCAGCCAGACACGGGACAACCAATTCCTGCACTCGGTAAAACGGATAAATCACGGTTCGCGTGCACTTAGTCACGTGCCATCCATTAGGGCGGAGTGGGGTGGTGGGGGTTCTTGCTATCGAGTCATGGGATGCACGGATATATTTGGTTCCCTTCTATCTTTCCAGGGGCCAACATTTCCAGGAATCGTCGTGCTTACGTGTCATCTCTCGCAAAGAATAACAGCCCCCGATATTTATCGTGTCAATACTATTTGGATGAATCGGCGTTTGTGTATTCAGAGGCCCACTCTGCAGTAATGAGTCCGATGCTTACGGATATCCTAAATTTTATTGATTTCAGTACAACAGCCTGGCCAGATCTGAACTTATAAATGGCAGCATGTTTTATTTATCTGATATAGTTGTTTTGAAAATTGTGATCAGAATAGCATGCAAAAAATACCCCAAGCATCAGACTAATATAAATAAGTATAATACAAAAACGTAACATCACAGGCAAGCGTCATAAGACATGACTTAACATGTATGTGAAAATGAATGTCAGTTGAATGTAGTAAGCACCAAAGTGTAATGACGCAATGTTAAATTTTCTGATCACATGCACACCAGTGAGATATTTTACATTGTTAATACTCGAGCTTTTTCACTGACGAATTCAGGATAACAAGCCACAAACCCAACTGACTGCAGCGTTGGCACTTGTTGTCAGCACCTGTCAACATTGTATTTTCAACGGACCCAATTCAATAGATTGAGCATGTAAGAACTATTCACTGCTCTCAACGCATTGCATTTGCATAGGTACCACTGCAAAAAGACCAGTGGTTGCAATAAATAATTTTCTGCAGTTGACTGCTCAGATAATAGGCAGCCAATTATCATCAACAAAAATGTCAATATGCTTGCGGGTCGGCTACAGAAACCCAACCATGGATTGCATGGAATTTGAGAAATATGAACGAATACAGCTCCATTATTATTCATTTCCTCTCCGCTGTCTGCTCGCACACCATCATTCATCTGTGCGTGCTCGTTTATAGGGGTTTTATTTTTGGGTTAACCACACAAAAATCAGGCTTGCTGAACCCTTTTGCATTCAGCTTTATATCCAACAGAAAATGGTTAAGGATAAATGTACCACTGCATCTATCTAATGCAATATTCACATTAATTGTGGTGCAAAAAAACTGCCAAATCCATACCAACGCAATCCAAATGCATTAATCATCTGAATGTAAACTCGGCACGGTGTCCGTATCTGCTGTTCATCTAATTTTGCCCGCGCATTGGCACGCAAGATACAAAAAAACATTCCTGAAAACACGGGCACAATGGTCCGTTGTGAAAATAGTGGGGTGATCACAACTACTCAGCCATCCGCACACACATATGCAAATACACACATGTACGTACACGGACATGAGCACTTATGATCCACGAGCCTACTCAAGAGAAAACCCACGCACAGTCACGCAAGCCCAGGCATGCAATCACGCACAATAAAACATAAATATTCCCCTGTATGGCCGTTAACAGACCATAGCTGCAAGTGCTGTTAGCGAGCACCTATGAAGGGTCGCACGGCACACAAACAGGTGGGTGGGTGGCAAGCAATATGCCAGACTGCCTATGTCCTTAATGGCAATGTTTACACACCAGGGACTCATTTGTGGCTGAGTCGATGTAGGGGAGGCCCAGGACTGGTTCGGATAATCGTCACTGGTGTTGACCATTAGCGGGAATCGAACCCAGGTTGCCGGGTTCGTAGCGCAGTGCAGTAACCGCTGCACTAACGCTCCCCACACAGACACAAAGATCCCATAGTTATAGCCTTAACAGACTGTTGGGCCAAGTGCTGTTAGCGAGCACCTATGAAGGCCTGGAACGGCACACGCGGGCGTGGGTGGCCATCAGCACCAACACCAATACCCGCCATTCTTCACTTAGTGAGGTGAGGTCACCACGGCGCCCGATGCCAGATGCACTTTGAGGCCACGTCAAGTGTCGAAGGCTCGTTGACAGGTCACGGGACAGACCCATGTGCCATGGGTTGACTGAGATGACTAGCAGATGCACCAGCCAGCAAAACACACAACAACATGCACAAGCGCACTCTTTAGCCACCTTTCCCCTGCAAAGTGGTACGCAGTAGAAATGGTCCAAACGCAAAGAAAAAGCGTGGCTGGCAGGCGGCACATTTATAAATGTATTATATTTCTAGTTCCCCACGCCTGTTCGATTGCATGTGTTTATTTATTTCTCTCGCTCTCTCTTTAACCTGCCGGCGCGACTGTTATACGGCAACGGGTACCTTAATCTGCCTAATTAGCACAGTAACGGCTCTTTGGCGGGGAGTGTGGGGGGCTGGCCGGGGTAGAGGCCGGCCTGCTGCCCCCCCCCCCACCCACTATACTCACACTGCACGGTTTCTGCGCGGTTGTGCTGCAGCATGATGCAGAGCTGCAGCACGAGCTGGGGTGCGCTCTCCAGGAAGCTCTCCACCAGGCGGAGGATGCTGGCGTCTGCGTACTCGTAGTTCATGGCCCACTCGAAGCGATGCTGGTAGTCCTTGCGCCGACGGCTCTGTATGCCCAGGTATATCACGCGAATGTACCTGCAGCCGGTGCCCACAACAAGTTATATTTTGTTAAAAGAAAACACAAATATATATCGAAGGGTTGGGGGAGGGGAATATAAAATAATCACAAGGACATTTGCGCATCGTATGCGCTGGAGGTCTTCAGTGGGTTCACCTTCCGCCGAACCTCCCTGGTGAGTCGATAGATTGCATTGTGAGAAGATTCAGGGTTGTGATTATTTTGCAAGCGTCGCTTCTTTGATGCGATGGTGAACGTGGATTGCCTTTCACAGCCGCAAGGGTCTCGTGAACCTATTGCACACATTAAAAAAGACTTTAAATGACAATTTACTGCCCGTTATGAATGAAGGTCTCCCGATGCCGTGTTGCTCAAAGACGTTGCTTATAACCCTACTTCACCGTGCTGGTTCAGTGGCGGGTTTGTGAAGGGTGTGGTGGGTGAGACCCATGGTCGGTTCAGATATCACTCGCCACTGACGTTCGCGAGGGCCGAATCAAACTCGGATCGATGGATTAATAGTGCAGTGAACGAACTTCGTGCCACCGTTCTACTCCATGCCACATATATGTAGTGTTTTTATTTCACGCGGACAACTTCATTTTCTCCTGTGCCACTTTTTATTGAACAGAACTCCTCGCGTTCGACACCACCACGTGACTCCGTCGTGATTTTCCCGCTTGCGCTGCTCGCTTGCTTCACTCCGCTCACTTCGCTCGCTCCACTCTCCCTCTTTTTTTACGATCAGAGAAAACAAGAAGATGCTCGGTGTAGTCGGCACTTTGCTCCGTTCATCAATTCGTTTTTTTAGTTTTTTTATGCTTTGCTTTGTGTAAACCCCCGCCACCCGCCCCCCCTTTTAAATGAAAGACCCAACAAAATATATTTTTTCTTTTTTTCTGCTCTCCTTACCCCTTCCCTCTCTCTCTACCCCCCTCCTCTCTCTCTACCCCTCTCTCTACCCCCTCTCTTCCTACTCCATTTGGCTCTCGCTCACTCTCTCTCTTTTTTATAACTACGACAAGTGCTGCACCTGCACGCAGCCCTTCCCACAGTCAACTCTCTCAGCCTCTCCACTGCTAGCCTGTTCCATCTTTCTCTCAGCCCCTCCACTGCTAGCCTGTTCCCCCTCTCTCTCTCAGCCTCTCCACTGCTAGCCTGTAACCTCTCTCTCAGCCTCTCCACTGCTAGCCTGTTCTCTCTCTCTCTCTCAACCTCTCCACTACTAGCCTGTTCTCTCTCTCTCACTCTCCTAGCCTCTACACTGCTAGCCTGTTCTCTCTCTCCTAGTCTCTCCACTGCTAGCCTGTTCTCTCACTCTCACAGCCTCTCCACTGCTAGCCTGTTCTCTCTCTCACTCTCATAGCCTCTCCACTGCTAGCCTGTTCTCTCTCTCAGCCTCTCCACTGCTAGCCTGTTCTCTCTCAGCCTCTCCACTGCTAGTCTGTTCTCTCTCAGCCTCTCCACTGTTAGCCTGTTCTCGCTGTGTCTCTCCACTGCTAGCCTGTTCTCTCTCTCAGCCTCTCCACTGCTAGCCTATTCTCTCTCGCTCTCCTAGCCTCTCTACTGCTAGCCTGTTCTCTCTCTCACTCTCCTAGCCTCTCCACTGCTAGCCTGTTCTCTCTCTCACTCTCCTAGCCTCTCCACTGCTAGCCTGTTCTCTCTCTCTAATAGTCTCTCCACTGCTAGCCTGTTCTCTCTCTCAACCTCTCCACTGCTAGCCTGTTCTCACTCTCTCTCGCTCTCCTAGCCTCTTCACTAATAGCCTGTTCTCTCTCACACTCACCACTGCTAGCCTGTTTTCTCTCTCTCTCACTCTCCTAGCCTCACCACTGCTAGCCTGTTCTCTCTCTCAGCCTCTCCACTGCTAGCCTGTTCTCTCTCTCACTCTCCTAGCCTCTCCACTGCTAGCCTGTTCTCTCTCTCGCTCTCCTAGCCTCTCCACTGCTAGCCTGTTCTCTCTCACTCTCCTAGCCTCTCCACTGCTAGCCTGTTCTCGCTCTCCTAGCCTCTCCACTGCTAGCCTGTTCTCTCTCTCTCTCACTAGCCTCTCCACTGCTAGCCTGTTCTCTCTCACTCTCCTAGCCTCTCCACTGCTAGCCTGTTCTCGCTCTCTAGCCTCTCCACTGCTAGCCTGTTCTCTCTCTCTCTCTCACTCTTATAGCCTCTCCACTGCTAGCCTGTTCTCTTCTCACTCTCCTAGCCTCTCCACTGCTAGCCTGTTCTCTCTCTCACTCTCCTAGCCTCTCCACTGCTAGCTGTTCTCTCTCTCTCACTCTCCTAGCCTCTCCACTGCTAGCCTGTTCTCTCTCTCACTCTCCTAGCCTCTCTACTGCAAGCCTGCCTGCCACGCTATGCTCGCTTCACTCGCTCCGCTGCTGGCCTACCACTACACACTCTCATAGCTTCCCACTGCACACTCTGCTAGCCTATTACTATCCAGTCTGCTAGCCTATTACTATCCAGTCTGCTAGCCTATCCACTGCTAGTCTATTACTACACACTCTGGTAGCTTCCCACCATACACTCTGCTAGCCTCTCCACTACTAGCCTATTACTATACACTTGGGTAGCTTCTCCACTGCTAGCCTCTCCCCATCTCTTCTGCTAGCTTCTCTACTGCTAGCCTTCCGCTATATACTCTGCTAGCTTCTCTACTGCTAGCTTCGCACGCTCACACTTAGGATTCCGCTAGCTTCTCTACTGCTAGCCTTCCGCTATATACTCTACTAGCTTCTATACTGCTTCTCTACTGCTAGCCTTCCGCTATATATTCTGCTAGCTTCTCTACTGCTAGCTTCACATGCTCACACTTAGGATTCCGCTAGCTTATCTACTGCTAGCCTTTCTCCCCTTGCCTCTCCAACCTCGCCCTTGCCTCCAGTAGGGGTTCAGCCATCGCCGCTGGAGAGGGCCAGGTGTGGAGAGGGGGGCCTGGGACTTCTCTCGTCTTTCCTATTGTCTTCACTCCGACTGACTCGACTCCCTCTCTCTCTCACGCTCCCGTATATATCTCCATCCTCATTAACTCCTCATTAATTAAGCTGGCGACCTCCCGTCGCCTCATGCCCCGTGGCTTACGCCACTATCGCCTCAATCTCCCGTCAACCTGGCGCCTGTTCCGCGCCTGCATTTGCAGCCAGTCAATCACTGCTATGCATCTTAATTAGCCGTCTCCTTTCCGCTGTTCTCTCTCACCACACCTGTTCGTCCCGATGCGACCGCACATGCGTGCACACCGCTTGCAAACCCCCGTGTGTTACTACCATACATCACACCCCCCTGATGAAAAATCTAGCCGTCCCGGCTAGCCTTATATAAAATTTAGTAACGAGCGAATCTTTTACACAGGTTATAACAGCAAGACACAACAGCAACAAGTACAATATAATAACAGTAATAAATACGCGTGTATATACAAGTGTGTGCAATGCAGTCTGTCTCTTTGAACAGTCCCGCATTCCTCAATGAAAAACAGTCCTCCGTGAGCAGGTTCCCGCCGCCGGTCTGTCATCACGGACCGGGTCCCGCACAGACGGGGGAAGAGACGGCTCAGTGCTCGTCAGAGAGCCACGTCTCTTCCTCGATGAACCGTGAGCCTCTTGTGGGTCCCGGTCGCGCCAAAATGAGGAACCCGGCTGCGGCTGGTCCTTCACCTCGGACTCCAATGGCCGGCCGGTCGGCCCACCTTGCCTTAGTCGGCACGATCCTGTGGGCGAAAGGGAACCAGGCTCCTGAGGCACGTCTGCTCGGGGCAGCATGACAGACTCGGACGCATCTGACACAGGCCGTTTCGGGATGGGAGATGACGCATCATAAATCGGCGTCTCAAAGTTCTTCAGCCGTGATCGGTGCACATACCATCGGCGTTGCCCGAATTGAATACGAACGCACTGGGGTCGACGAACATCAACGACCTCTACCGGCCCTTGCCATGGGCAATGTAGTTTGGGTGACGTACCCACCTGCACCATGGGACAAGGAGCCACACCTTGTCACCCTCGCGCCATGGATCGTGTGGAGATTTTGTACCCCACAAGCACTCGTTGGCCGCCTGACGCCATGCCGAATTACTTATGGAGGCCTCACGAGCCTCCCTCAATCACTCAAGGGTCACCTGCATGAGAACCGGCATGGCCGACGCCTTACCCGGCAGACGCACGGCCAATTTCACCAACGCCGGAGCCTCAGGCTCCCGCCCATACATCAAATAGAAGGGTGAATACCCCGTTGAGGCATGTGGGGCCAATCTGTAGGTGGCCAGAACCTCGGGATATGCAAATCCCAGTTGGTTTATGCTGCATTAACTTGCTGACACAACATGGATGTCAAGGTTCGATGTAAGCGCTCAAACATCCCGTCTGTCTGTGGGTGGTACGGGGAAGTCCGAATCTTTTTAGTGCCGAGGGAATCACACACTTCCTTTAACAACTTCGATGAAAATGTTTTACCCTGATCAGTGAGCAACTGCTCTGGTGCACCCTTGTCCACCACGTACCCCTGCAGAAAGGTTATAGATGCTGCCGACTTGGCGACCAACGGCCACGCCATCAGCCACTGGGTGAGATACTCAACCCCAACCAGCAAATATTTGTGCCCCCTCTGGGTAATGGGAAGTGGACCCAAAATGTCCAATGTCACCAATTCGTTGACTCGATAAACTGTTATGGACTGCAGTGGCACCTTGTACGGTTGCGCAGGCGCCTTCCGACGTGCACATTCAGGGCAAGCTTTAATTAACAAGTGCACATCATTGTCCATACCCGGCCAATAGAAATCTTTCTTTGAAGTCAACGACGTTTCCTTTACTCCCAAATGCATCAATTTATCGTGCACCATGTGTACAAGTTTGCCATCGCAGGCTTGTGGGCACAACAATGCAAAACCTTTGAAGCACGACGTCCCAAAGCAAGAGGAGTCCGTCCACGAGCCGTAAAAATGGGCGCTCAACTGACCTCGGTGTCCGGAAAGCCCTGCACCGCAACCTGAACAGGGAGGAATCCGCTACCGGCAGGCG